ACTGAAACAGCGATGTCTATGTTGGCTTGGGCATGTTGGGAGAATGGCTGACGGTCAGATTCCAAAAGATCTCCTGGATGGAGAATTAGTGCAGAGAAATTGCCCCAGAGGGAGACCACAGCTGCGATACAAGGATATCTGCAAGCGGGACCTGAAGGCCTTAGGAATGGATCTCAACAGATGGGAAACTTTGACATCTGAACGTTCAGCCTGGAGGCAGGCGGTGCACCACGGCCTCTCCCAATTTGAAGAGACCCTTGTCCAGCAGGCCGAGCCCAAAAGGCCGTCCCGAAACCAGCCAAATCAGGGAGCTGGACAGGGGACAGATTGTATTTGTCTTCAGTGTGGAAGGGATGGTCACTCTTGAATTGGCCTTTTCAGCCACACTAGATGCTGTTCCAAGACCTCTATACAGAGCATGTTACCATAGTCTCTCGAGACTGAAGGATGCCTACTATGATGCACACACCCAGACTTGCAAAACATCGGTGTCCCAGTCCTGTATAGAATTCCAGCCAGCCATGCCTGTTCTTCATCCTCCTCCATTTTCTGATTTTCACCCTCAACAGCATTCCATGTTGAGATGCGAGGACAGAAATCTTTGCTCATTTCAAGAGCAAAAAATTGCAAATGTTTTCATCCTGCTAAAGAAACTTGAGTTTTTTTTTCACATTTCAGTATGTTTTTGTGAACATTTCACACACAAAAATCTTTTTTGCACCAACACCAAGAGATTTTGCAGTTTGCACCTTTGTTGCACGCATCACAGTGTTTCTTTCACAATTTTTTTTGCACTCAGTGTGGCTCTCTTTTTGGTCCTTAAAAAAGTGTTAAGTCTTTTCACCATTTTGAAGGGACAAATCAGTGTCATGGGTGCTGACCATTTTTTGACAGACTGCCTCAATGAGTCAAGACTGCTTTCCTGGAAAGGTTGGTGGGGGGTGGGAGAGAGATTCTCTTTTGTTTTTTATTTAATATCCCATTTTTCTCTCAAATACTAGGACCCATGAAAATGCATGAGATACGAGCAAAAATATAGGTATTAAAAAGTTATTAGGAAAAACTGTGCATTTAATGGTGATTGCACAGTGTTTTCTACCATCCAAAAGGTGACCCATCGCAAGGTGCATCTTGCAACCACTGTAACACTGGAAAAGTGGACAAGTGAAAGGAGGAGCTTCTGCAATTACCCTTCTACTCTATTTCCCCTCAGTAGGATTTTGGCTGAGAAGTCACAATATAACAAGAAGTCAAACATAGTATTGGATGAATTTTTTTTATGTGTCGAGTTCATGAGTTTGCTGTACATGAGGACCTCTAATGTTTTGGCCTCCAACTTCCAGAGACCTCAGCCACCACAAGGCACTGGTGAAAGATAGTAGGAACTGGAGGTCCAACATTTACCCATCCTTGAGTCCCCTGGGAAGGTATGGCTGGCATTTGTTTGGTGAACCTGAATGTCACTCATCACATCAGGTATCTTGGTGGATCAGATCAGAATCCAGTGTTTGTTGCAAAGAAAAAACCCCTGCAATGACCAGGTGCTAGGTGATCCCATGACTGGTGGCTTACCACAGAGTCATTTGGCTAATAGCCCACCACCAAGGAGCCCAGCTGGAACTATCTGCCCCACTTATACTGTAGAAAATATTGTTCCAGTATCAGGTTAGAAGGATCTTGTATCCTGTCTTCTGCTGGAGAACTAAACTGACAAATACCTTACAGCCCTAATATAGTGGTGCCTCGCTTAACTATTACCTTGTTAAATGACAAAACCGCTATACGATGACTGCTTTGCTATTGCTTTTGCGATTGCAAAATGATGTTTTAATAGGCAAAATCTGCTTTGTGATGATTCTTCGCATAATGACATTATTAAAACAGCTGATCGGTGGCTTCAAAATTCAACCCATTGTGTAAAATGGCTCCCCGATGTGTTTTTGGATGGATTCCTTGCTTTACAGGCACTGAAAATGGCTGCCCCTATGGAGGATCTTTGCTGGACGGTGAGTTTTCCAGCCCATTGGAACGAATGGAACGGGTTTTCAATGCGTTTCAATGGGAGTTTTTATTTTGCTTAACAAGGATTTTGCTCTACAGCGATTTCGGTGGAACGGATTATCCTCGTTAAGCGAGGCACCGCTGTACTGTAAACCTGTTTCCTTCTTAGTTGTCAGTTTGCTTGTTGCGGACAACCCACTGCTCAAGGAATTATCATCTTATTAAGTCAGAGACAAAGTGACAGCACATAGCAACAAAAGGGCTGTTTCCCCCTCAGCAGGGGCCACGTGCCACATGTTCAAGTTTGCAAACAGGCATGTGATTGCTTCCTTGACCCGAGGGAAAACGAGAAGTGTGGTGGCCAGCCAGTGGCCAGGCTTGTTTACATGACTGCCTGCTTATGTTGCATGTGATCAAATCCCCACAGACTTAGCTGGTAGGGATGTGAAAGTACTCAAAAAATGTCCTCATCAATTTGCTGAGTCTTGCCTTGCCGAGACTCCTCACTCAGTCTTTCCCTCCTACCAGCCACATTCCTCAGGATGCAATGCAAACGAGACTCCATTTGTCTTCCCCATTTTTGCAACTGTTCTTTTGCATAAGAAGCTGCAAGACTGTGTGTAGGTCCATGTACCTCCCAGGAAATCATGTATCCTGGATAGCCCCCAATTTGTAAAGGAACTGCAATAATTGTGTACATATTAGTGTTTCTTCTGGGGGGGGGGAAGAACACAAAAATCAAAGAAACCCAATGAGATTTCCCACAAGATTCCTCAGAGGGGAAAATACACACAAACAAATCCTGTTATGAGGATAAAAGAGGGAATCTCTCTCTCTCTCTCTCTCTCTCTCTATCTATCTCTATCTATCTATCTATCTATCTAAAGTGCTGGACTGGGACTTCAGGAAGGCGATATTCTAGCCACGATGTGAGATTTCTTGTCCCAAACTAAAATAAGGGCCACTGGAATCTGCTTTGTACCAGATCACAGTATTTGTCTGAGGTCCCTTGTCTGCTCTGGTGGCCATGACTCTCAAGCACTTCCTTCCAATCTTTGGAAGTATCTTCTGGCTCATGAGGCCACCTGTACAGAAGAAGGCGAAAAGGAGAGAGGCAGAAGGGGTGTCTGTAAGAGGGAGGGAGGAGAAGTAGGTCCACACCCCTCTGGATCTCACCTTACCTTCAGGTGACTTCAGCTCCATCCCTCAGCAGCATGTGGCAGGATTTTTATAAATTATAGTGCCAGATTTATGTACAAACTAACGCAATTGTAGATTAGGGCTGCAGATTATGAGCAGTCGATAGATAGATAGATAGATAGATAGATAGATAGATAGATAGATAGATAGATAGATAGATAGATAGATAGATAGATAGATAGATAGATAGATAGATAGATAGATAGATAGATAGATTGATTGATTGATTGATTGATTGATTGATTGATTGATTGATTATCAATTCCAATTTAGCTGACCCTTTTTAGGGTGGTTTACTATTCCTTTCTTCTGGGGGCATCCTGGGACTGTATAGTTTGCTCAAGGTCACACAATCTCTATCAAGCATAGTGAAATAATGTGTTCCCTTAAGCATATGTTATGACTTATGACATATGGAGAGCTGCAACTATCCACTCTGGATTAAGACTCATAATCCAGAGTGGGTATTTGCAGCTCTCCATATGTTGTTGGACTGCAACTCCCATCCACCCCAGCCAGCATAACTGATTGTGAAGGATGCTGGATGTTGAAGCCCAAGAACATCTGGAGGGCCATGAGCTTTTTACTCTCCGTTAAGGGAATGTGTTCTGTCATCAAAATAAGGTGCCCCCATTGTTCCTCCAAAGATGGAGGGGACAAATGATAGCTCCCTGGATGTGGTTAAACAGCAACTCAGCAATTCTGATTAGGGCAGATAAAAACTACAATCCAGGGATGTGCGGGGTGTGTGTGTGTGATTTGCCAACCCTTGCCCTAAGCAGACAAGGCATGTATCTGTTGGGCAGATGAGGAAGCAAGCCTCTGATCTCCTCCAGATGTTCTAGATGTTGTTGTTATGTGGTGTCAAATCACCTCTGATTTACGCTGACCCTGTAAGTGATAGTCCTCAAAAGTGTCCTACTATTAACGGCCCTGCTTAACCCTTGCAAACTGAAGAAAGTGGTTTCCTTTATGTAGTCAATACACCTCATATTTGATCTTCTTTTCCTGCTGCCTTCAAATTTTTTTAGTTATTGTCTTTCCCAACATATCTTATATCATCTTCTTCCAAAGTAGGACATACTCAGTTTTGCCATTTTTGCTTATAAAGAGACTATAACAACCAACTCCTGAAAAAACACACACACACACCTGGCCTTTAGCTGTGTTGCCTGGAATGGACCAACGTTGTGGTCTAGAACATCTGAAGGGCACTGAGTTGCTGGCCACTCGGTGTAAAATTTATATACTACATCCTGAGAAGATCCAACATTAACAACCTCTCTCCAATATGTACATGCTTTTAAATTGCTTGGTGTGTGTGTGGGGGGCACCGCCTTAAACGCTTCGTGGAAAAGCTCCGAAGCTGGAAAAGATATTTGCTTGTGTTGGATGTGGGGGAAATGAATCCAGAAGGTAATGGGAAGGAGGGACTGGGGATTTTGAGGCGGGGGAGGGTGGAGATGGATGGATTGTGGCCAGAGGGGCACATAAGAGAGACCCTCAAAGTCCAGGTCTTGCTATCAATCTGGGTTGCTCAATGGAATCCAGGAAGGAAATAAAGAGGAACAGGAAGAGAGGGCATTTTGTGTGTGTGTGTGTGTGTGTGTGTGTGTGTGAGAGAGAGAGAGAGAGAGAGAGAGAGAGAGAGAGACGCGCGCGAGCGGGGGGGG